CTTGCAAAAAAGAAATACTAAAAATAATTTGGTTTATTTGATTTGATCAATTGTCCTGGAAATATTGTCAAAGGATAAACATGCTTAACCTTCCCTGGTTTATATTTGTGTGATTGATTTTATTAGTATAAATATTTTAGAGATTATATTAAGTTCATAGAAGTGTGCAAGTACCCCATTTATTCATGATATGCCCAGGCATGTTAGCAGTCTTAATTCTAATTCCTTAAACATTATATATTATGGGAATAGGTGTGAGGTATCTCAGTATGGGTTTGACCTTTATCTTCCTATATAATTTCCCCTATAACTATGACAGTTTAGCATGTTATACTTTTGTAAGAAATTAAACATTTTTTTCTTTTTTTCCTGCATGATTTTCCTGAAACTTAGAAATTGCAGTTGAGCATACTTTTTTTTTTTTTTTAAAGATTTATTTATTTGTACATACAGAACTGGGGTACAGGCCAGAGACTCAGAGGTGGCGAAAGACTTCACCAGAGACAGAGTGGGGAGCAGAACAGGCAGATCGATGAAGTACACTGCTGAGGGGAGCAGCAGGCGGGTCAGGAGAGGTCTGCCATGCCATGTGGTCACCTCCGGGGCAGGCAGGAATCGAACTCATGCGGAAGTGGTTTCAGCCTCTTAGTGCAGTGCTTTAACCCGCTGCGCTACCAGGGAGGGCCTGAGCATACTTTTTTTAAGCAATAAAATTATTTACACATGTTAAGTAAGAGTCTGTATTACTTACATATCCAGGATTTTGAGTGGAGTATCATACTTGGAAATTATGCATAGTATCACATAAAATCAAACAGTTTTAAGGAACTGAGGATGATTTTTATAGGGCTTATAATTACAAAGCTATTTGGGAAAAACTAGTCTGATAATTTGTTTACAGATTCCAAGCTTACAGTGCAATAAGAAAAGTCACTAACTGGCAAGCCCATGAATCTTAGGTTATTGTTTTGGAAATCTTGAGAATTGCAACTCATCTTAACCTATAGGCATACTTGATTATATTGGATGGTGAGTTTTTGGTAGAGCTCCTTAGCTCTTAAAAAATCTTCAGATACTCTTTTAAAATCTTCAGATACTTTATGACAAATTCTAACAAATCAACCTCAAGAGATCTACTATTGAGTTTGATTACTTCTCTTTAAAAACAAAAGATTTATTTATGCATAAAGAGCTGAATTGTAGGCCAGAGGTATGGGGAGAGGTGAAATGATTGCCCTTTGTGCCACTTGGGAGGCCCCCAATTATTACTATTTTTATGCCTATAAATAATCAGGACAAATCTAATGACACCAACAATATTTTGTAAACAAGAAAATAAGCAGGGGAGGGTTTGACTGTGGGGAGAAATTTATATTTCAATGGAAAGCTGTTGGGCACCATTGTGTTTTATTAAATTCTCGTCCTGCTCACTGTCTTACACATTTTGTCATTTCTTTTAGTTTCCTTCATTAATTCTATTGGCTATAATTCTGCAAATTAATGTTTTCCAATGTTCTTCCCTTCTTCTGATTTAACATCACTGAAAACAGAAACATAGTCCTTCTTCTGAAGGTCTGAAATTGGATTACCTGATAATCTTTGAAGAAGTCACCACAACAGATCATGTATGGGCAGCCTTTGTGCCTGTTACTATGTGGATATTCAGAAAGTTCACTGGAACATCTGATGACATCATCAAGGACATTCAAACTGATAAGAATGCTTTGAGCTCAGTATCTAAATACTTCTCAGCTGTCTTCCCTCTGGACGCAGAAACTGGTTTTATAGTGTGCTCTAACCATTAATCTTTTTTCTTTTATAGAAGTTTGCCTCATTAAATGCCAGACTACTTGAACCACTTAACCAGTATCTTCTACTTCCAAGTCTCAATTGATGGTTCAACTGGGCTTTAATGAACAAAAACAAACTAATGAGAAATGGACTCATATTCAAAGTAAAGAAGAATGATACTCCTTTTCTTGAATAAGAAGGGATGAAAAAGACTCTTTAACTAAACTTTTAGTTATGTTCTTCTAAGTTATTTTCATAATTAGACTCTGTGCTTTCTGTACCTGCATAGTGAGGTTTTAATTAGAATCCTGTGAAGTCAATTTTAAAGAGACTTCCCCATCTTGATAGCTGATCAAATTCTGCAAACCAGGCGCTATCTGATCATTCTGACTTATCTTAAACAAGAATACTATATTTAACCAAAATCTTCCCTAGCCTACAATGTTTACATAGTAATTTTATATACACTAGTGCCCACTCTGCTCCTTGACTATAAATCCGCACTGTTTTTGCTGTATTGGAAAGTGACCCTATTTTTATACTGAAATTTCTTGTCCCTTATTCCAGTAGTTCCTGTGTAAAAACTATATTACTAGCTTAACTCTTGTCTAACTCTGTTGTTTTTTTTCTTGACAATATTAGCATTATGTAATCTTAAAAAATGATATAATTTTTAAACATTGGCAGATATTTCAACTTGTAGTTGCATAAGTCAGTTATGCATAAAATGTGAACCAGTGTGTACATATGTAGAGTGTCCCTAAGGGGTCAGTGTCAACTTTCTGTCACAGTTATTACTGAAAACTCAGAATTTGGGAAAATATACATAGATATCAGGACTGATATACCACAATTATGTGAAAGGAAAGGAAATACATTGCTATTCATACCAAAGAAGTGACCTCTAACTGTAATTTATATTGTTATATTTACAGTTGGTTGTTGCTATATATATATATATATTTTCTGGTTCAGTATTTGTGTGGAATTTTACCATCACCTTTTCAGCACCTGGAGCAGCTGAGGGTTTTGATTTTTATTCATTTGTTTTTTGAGAATAGGTATGCTATTTGATATCCTTGTTAATTTTTGATAGTATAGGATTTCTTATTGCTACATTTGTTTACAAGTCATTATATTTTTTTTTACAAGTCATTATATTTTAAGTGCAATATTACATGCATATACATGTAATATCATGAGAAATTACTATCTTGCATCTACTTCATGAGAAATTTAAGAAATATTTTTTAGAGCTCATTGAAACTAGAGGAAGGTTTAGGGATTTTACTCAGCCATCTGACTTGAAATTATCAACCACTTAGCTTTCATTTTTGATATAGTTATCAGTTTAATGCCTGATGGATTTGTGAGACAAGGCCACCAAATGTTTACTGTCATCCAGTATCTTTATTGGCGAATCATGATATTTTAATTTGTCAAAAGCAGTAAGAATAGAAACTGATGTGGTTGTGCTATGCAAAGTTTTCTGACTGGAGGTCTTTTTCATTGGGCTAGTCATCAACAGCTTGGTGAAACACAAACAAATATTGCTATCTTTCACTGATAAGGATTAATAATCATATTAAATATATTGATACTTTATTTGAAATAATTGCATATTTTGAAAATGTTTCTAGCTATTATGGTCCATTTATTCTGAATGTGCATAATGAACTAATATTTGTCATCTTTTTAAAAAAAGATTTTTTTTGTTGAGAGCTGACTTTGTTGCAAACATTATTCTAAGTGTCCTAACTTATGTTAACTGTATAGGATGAAGGGAGAGAATGATTTACAGAAATAATTTACTTATTTTTACCCATTTGTTAATTGTCAGAGACAGAATTTTAACAGAATTGATTTGGTAGTGAAATCTGTGCTGTTAGCTGTTACCTGATGGGGAAAACAGTACTTTAGAAGTCTTTGAGATGATAAACTCTATCATAAATGCTTTAAACTTTGAGGTCTTCAACAGTCTTTCTATACTCTTTTAAATCTATTTCTCCATATTGTTCCTTCTTCTTTTTCTGCTGCTGCTGATACTACTATCCATCACTACCAGCTTCATCACCACCAGCAGTGGCATCACGACTTTACTAATGAATATATTTAGTAGAATTCTTAGGTGGAGAAGTACTTGCCAAGAAGAGGATGCTTCAGAAGCAGAGAGATCTTGGCCATAGATCTTTTCCTTAGTCTTGGTTGATTTGTTTTTTGGCTGTTGGGTTCCTAAGACAATTTAACAACCTATAGCTTGTAATCCCCCATAAACACCAAAAAGTGTAAGCTCATTTGAGAGTGTCTGAGTGAATAAATCACATTATTCTCCCTTGAAAAAGTTCACACAGATCATAAATAATTTAAAAGTCTAAAAACCCTGTTGATCAGCTTTTCTTTAGATATATTAAAAAGCCTAGTTTTTCAAAACAACTTAATATATTTTAAAATATTGATTTTATATAATTAAGATGTATCAACATTACTGTTTGCTAAAATAATTAAAATTACAAATTTATAGTATTGTTCTAAATGTATAGGTCAGGTTACATATGCTAATACACATATATGCACGTGCATAATTAAAATAATTTAAGTTTTAGAACATTATGTTTTTGATTTTTAAAAAATATACTATTTTACCACTTTGTTTTTTGCAGGGTAGAGTTATTTCTTTTTTAAGTCTACCAGCGCCCTCTAGAGTGAAATGTTTATATCATTGGATAAAAAGGAACATTTTCACACAGTCAAATAAATATTTTTGATCCATTTTAGTTTGGCAGTTTGTCACTTAGAAGTGTACCTTAGTGTTTTTGCCTGAGTAAATATTATTTTCCAGGGTGACTTTTAGATAATAGGAACAAAGTAAAAAATTTATTCACTATAAACATTTATTTTACTTTAGTAGTTGTATATCTCTTTATTATGTCCTTGTGGAACTAGTGATGTGTAATTTTATTTTGAAGTTAATATTTTTATAATAATAATAATAATAATATATGTTGAATTTCTCACTGCCCAGTAATGTTTATAGTTATTGGATGACTTTATATATGGGATACTGCATTTGTATTGTTGGATTTGCAGTAGACTAAGATATACTCTGGACACTTTACACACTTATTTCTTGTTGCCTAATGTATCAGAGTGTGACCCATTTTAAATGAATTAGAAATATTAGAATTAAAGTATATTCCATTTTATTACAGAAGAAAGTTCTCAGGAAACATCACAGGTGAAGAAAAGTTTGAGTGAAAAAGTTTCTCTCTATAGAGGTGACATCACACTGCTAGAAGTAGATGCTATAGTCAATGCGGGTGAGTAATTGATTTTTTTTGTCATGTATTTGTTATGCAAGTTCTTATTTTTAAGTTTTTTTCTAAACAGCAAGAAATATATGTTAGAAAAATATATTCTGCTATAAAGATATTTTTATATATTTATTTTTGCTAAAAACATTGAAGATCTATTTTATGTTATTTGCTGCAATTAATGTGCTAACTGTACATACTAAATTGAGACTAAACTGTTGGGCCACTGGAGATATGACTGAGAGTTGTAAAAGTTTTTTGGAAAGAGCATTCGTGGTTACATTATTGTTGGTTTCATGCTTGAGTTAATAATCGGCCAACATTCCAGAAAGTTCATCAAGCCCTTTGCCAACATTTCAACAAGTTCATCAAGCCCTTTCTTTTGAGTGGTAAAGAGGTAACTGAACTAATTCAGACAAAAATAAAATATAAAGAAATGATTCCTTTCTGTCCTCTTTCTAATCCTCATTTATTGAATCTCAAACTTATCATGTTTGTAGGAAATGGCTTCTTTTCATATTTGAACATTTGGAAAAATACGATAACTTAATTATGTTGGGCTGCATCTCCTAAATATTTTAATAAGTTGCTGTCTTTCAGAAATATATAATAGTTGTGATTCTATGAGAATAAATGTCAACATTTATATATTTATTTATTTTAACTTGTTTGTTGTAAAGGTAAGCTCTTTACTGATCAAAATGCCAAATATAAAAATGTGAACTTAGAAAATAAGAGTCTTTATTTAAAAAGATTGTTAAAATAAGAGGAAGAGCACCATTGTAATAGGTTGTGATAGGAGAAGGTAGACTATTAATTTGGAAAAGCCTTTTTACTATGAGATCTTTCAAGTGTTTCAAAGGTTAGCCAGACAAGGGTTTTTCCTTCTGTAGATTTAAGTATGTAGTCCAGAAAGAATTAGGCATAGGGAAATAATGGGATGATTGAGTGGCATGAGTGAACAGTTGATCATGGAAATCTTTCCCCTGACATTAGCTGATTCTTAGTAGGAGTAATTGAGAAGGGGTTGTTCACCTTCCTTTGCTCAAGAATGGTAGAAGTTCAGGAAGTCAGAAGAAGTAGGAAAGCTTAAAATTTGGTTAAGTCCAGTTAACAGGCACTGAATGATCGATAGTGACAGTTAAGCTTTTAACTTATGAGACAAAGAATGGAAATTTGGAAAGTCTATGTCCTGGCATTGTCATAGGTTAATAGATATTATTTATGAGTTTTACTCAATCATATGAGAAAGGTTGGTTCTTTGCATTATGCTGCTTCCCAGAACACAAAGGGTGTGTGTGTATGTTTGGGGATGGGGAGTAATTTCTTGACTGTCTCTGTTTTTTGGGTTGCAAAAAATGTAGGTACAGTTTAACATTGTCTCAGTGTTTTCTCTGATGATGAATAAAATTTGCTTGCATAGGAACACACTTCGATGGGTGAACAGAAGGGTCTCATGGATAACTGGGTCATTGTTTAGGAGATATCATAGTTGTTGCAACCTAATAGGAAATCTAGAACTCTAGCCAACTTGTTGTTCTCTCAGAATTGACTATGACTTCATTTGTACTCTGTTTTGCATTAGTCAGGGCTATTTTCCTTTCTTTTGATGCCTCTGTACTTACTTTTTCCTGTGTAACAATTCAGTTTATAGCTTTTTTCTATGTAGTTTGTAAGGAGAGAAATAGGTGTTAACCTTTCTGGTGTAAAAGGGAACATGGCAGGAAACTTTGGAACTGCCTCTAGGTATGGGGAATGAAGAGTAATGCCCCCCGTAAAGGTACCAAAGCAGCCCAGACATCACTTTCTAATGGACTTCTATAGTTATCTTTATGTATCCTTACTAATATTTGGATCACTTGGTCTTAGTTCCATTAAGGAAATGATTTGATATTTTAAATTTTTCCCTAATAATATACTTTTCAAAATACCTTGTGTTTATTTAAATATTGTTTATTATAATCTTCCTTATATCCTACTCCTTATACCATGTATTTACATAGGTAAATTAGGTAGTGGGACTGTATATGGTACAATAAATTTTATATTATGGAAATTTTCGCTTATATAAAATAATTTTTTATGGGATATTGTCTACATATATATTTCTGTTAGGTCTATATCTGAGAGTAGAATTGCTATGTGTAAAAAAATATATAAATTGAGCTTTAATAGATAACTGCCATGTGGTTTTCAAAGTAGATGCATTACACTATACTTCCACTAGCAACAGAATTTCAGTTGCTCTATATCTATGCTAATATTTGATATATTTTTTTTAT